TGTTGACCAGCACCCCCAGGCCCTTTCCCGCCGGGCAGCTCCCAGCCGCTCCTCCCCACGCCTGCAGCGGTGCCTGGGGTGGTTGTGTCTCACGCGGGTGTCCTCCCTCAACAGGAACAAGGACACAACCAGGGACGAATTCATCTTCTACTCCAAGCGCCTGATGAGGCTGTTGATTGAACATGCCCTCTCCTTCCTGCCACTGAAGGTGCGCGACCGCTCCTCTGGTGCGGCCACAGCCATGCCTCCCCCTCCTGAGCCCCCAGGCCGTGCGGGGGCCCGGCTTCATCCGCGCTGCCTTCTCCTCCCCTTTCTGCAGTCTGTCACTGTGGAGACGCCCCAGGGGACAACATACGAAGGAAAGCGCTTCCACAGGCAGAGGGTGAGACGTTCTCCTGGCCCCTTTCTCCCCACAAGCACACAGCTGCCCCATCTTGGATTGGCGCGGACTGGGAAAACCTGGTGGCTCCTGGGGTCCGTCCCTGTGCAGGCGAGCTGCTCGGCAGGGCTTGTTCCCCGCTCCTGTGGTGCCAGAGCCACGGGAGCTCACCGGAGCGGCTGCTTCCCCTGCGCAGCACGTGTTCCCGTCCCTTCCCCAGATCACGGGTGTGTCCATCCTGCGAGCAGGGGAGACCATGGAGCAGGCCCTCACTGCGGTGTGCAAGGACATCCGCCTGGGCAAGATCCTGATCCAGACCAACCACGACACGGGGGAGCCCGAGGTGAGTGGCGCCCACTGCCCTGGCCCAGAGCCCCCCGGCAGCGTGGGATGGGTGACCGCCTCTCCTTCCCTCCTCAGCTCCACTACCTGCGCCTTCCCAAGGAGATCAGCGAGGACTACGTCATCCTCATGGACAGCACCGTGTCCACGGGAGCCGCAGCCATGATGGCAGTGCGCGTCCTGCTGGTGAGGGGCTGGGGACAGCAGGGTGTGGGGCGGGGGCGTGCGGCCCTCCTGGTGCTGGCCGGGCTCTCACGGCTCTGCGTGCTGCAGGACCATGACGTGCAGGAGGACAGGATCTTCCTGCTGTCGCTGCTGATGGCGGAGATGGGGGTGCACTCCGTGGCCTACGCCTTTCCCCGCGTCCGCATCATCACCACTGCTGTGGACAAGAGGATCAACGAGGAGTTCCACATCATCCCGGGCATCGGTGAGGGCAGACAAGGGTGTGCTGTGCCTCGCGGGCCGGGCCCCCAGCCCCTCGCCTCGGCAGCCCGGGGGGGTGTCCCCTGGCCACGCTGAGGGGGCTCGGGGGGGGGGATTGGGGCGGGGGCGGGGGCGCCAAAAAAAATGTCCTCTTGTCCTCT